TTTCTCTGGATTAGGGAAGCTTTGCGTTTTTTTTTTTTTTTTTTTGAGACAGAGTCTCACTTTGTTGCCCGGGCTAGAGTGAGTGCCGTGGCGTCAGCCTAGCTCACAGCAACCTCAAACTCCTGGGCTCGAGTGATCCTTCTGCCTCAGCCTCCCGGGTAGCTGGGACTACAGGCATGCGCCACCATGCCCGGCTAATTTTTTTTATATATATATCAGTTGGCCAATTAATTTCTTTCTATTTATAGTAGAGACGGGGTCTCGCTCTTGCTCAGGCTGGTTTTGAACTCCTGACCTTGAGCAATCCGCCCGCCTCGGCCTCCCAAGAGCTAGGATTACAGGCGTGAGCCACAGCGCCCGGCCAAGCTTTGCGTTTTGATGCAGCTGCTTTGAGTGTCACAGGCCGGAGAGTTCTGGAAGAAATAGAATCTGAACCCGGGAAAACCGTTAAGGAAACTCCGTCTCTAACTGCGTTTTAGGGTCTACTGGGCAGGGCCACCGTGCACTGCCAGATTTTGGCTTTTCATAGCCAGGTGTGTTCTATAGCTCATGCCTCTTGCACTCTTTGATGGAGCTGTGCTTTTTTTTTTTTTTTTTTAAGTTTCTCCCTGCCAGCCGGCGCTGTTTCATTTCCCCTCTGGCTTCCTCCTCTCTGTCATCAAAACCCCCCAGCTGCCTCTTTTACCCGACAAACCGCAGCAGAAATAAGTGCAAAGAAAACAAGTCGGCAGCCACCTGCTACCCGAGAAGAAGCACCCAGGTTCCTAATGGATCGGATGCATTCCAGGACAGCTGTCGTGAGTTCCGGGAGGGAGCTTGTCTTTCTTCAAAGGGGGGAAAAAAAAATCAAAATAAAACCAGACGGGAACGGCGCAATCCAAGCGTTCTGTGCTGAGTGCCCGCTGGACGTTCAGACGTGGCATGCTCACTTAGAATTTGGGACGGTCGTCGGGAGGAGGTTGCAGGACGGTTGGCGCTGGCTGGGTGTGTGTGGTCCGGGGTGGAGATCCTCCACTTTTCTAAAAGCGAAACCCTTGTTCTTTCGAGTCAGCGGGGCCGTTTGTTTTTTTGTGGCTGTGCTTTTGCTTTTCTCCCCGCTGTCTGTGGTTCTGTGGTACGCTTGGGCGTGCAGCCCTTACCAGAAGATGTGCACGTTTTTTGCACACACACCCATGTGCATTGGATAGGTCTTTGGCGGATTTAAATCTCCCTCTTGCCCACCGAACACTCACCATCGTTCTTTTGGATTTTGGCAGGTGTTCAGGTAAAACCTGAGAGACTTGGCCCACCTCTCTGCTTAGGGAACAACGGCCACATTGTAAGGGAACGTCACCTGCTGTTCCCCAAGCTGCCGTTCCTGCCCAGTGAGCAGGACAGACCCTGCCCCTCAGGTGGACTCATGGGCGGCTCCAAAACATGCCTTTGTGAATCGCTCCTCTGGGGTTTGCTTGTTCCAGAAACAGTGTCAACCTGTGGCGGGTTGGAGTGCTCAGACTGCTCGAAGAGAACAGTGTGCTGATGAGTCCTGACCAAACATGGCAAGGTGATGGGAAAGTAGAAAGTAGGCTTGTTCTCGGGTCAGTAATCGAGACGAAGCAGTAATGCCAGGAACACAAGAATTGAGTCTCTAATTTAACAGGTCGGTGGGAGGAGAGCGAGTAGCTTTTATCAAAACACTTCAGGAATTTAAATTTTGCCTCTTTCTTTTTAAAATTTTATTATTTGTTAACTAATTATTTTTTGAAGACAAGGTCTCGCTCAGTTGCCCAGGCTGGAGCACAGTGGGGTGTGGTCATAGCTCACTGCAGCCTCCAACTCCTGGGCTCAAGCGATCCTCCTGCCTCAGCCTCCTGAATAGCTGGGACTGCAGGCACACACCACCACGCCCGGCTAATTAAAAAAAAAAATTTTTTTTTTTCAGAGACAGAGTCTTGCTGTGTTGCCCAGGCTGGTCTCAAACTCCTGGCCTCAAGTCATCCTCCTGTCTCAGCCTACTGAGTAGCTGGGACTACAGGTGTGCACCACCGTGGCCAGCTAATTTTTCTATTTCTTATAAAAATGGTGTCTCACCGTGTTGCCCAGGCTGGAGTGCAGTGGCGTGATCACAGCTCACTGTAGCCTGGAACTCCTGGGCTCTCAAGCAATCCTGCCTCAGCCTCTTGAGTAGCTGAGACTACAAGTGCATACCACCACGCCCAGCTACTTTTTCTCTTCTTTGTAGAGATGGAGTCTTGCTATGTTGCCCAGGCTGGTCTCAAACTCCTGGCCTCAAGCCATCCTCCTGCCTCAGCCTCCTGAATAGCTGGGACTACAGGTGTGCATCACCACACTCAGCTAATTTTTCTTTTTCTTTCTTCTTCTTTTTTTTTTTTTGTAGAGGTGAGGTCTCACTATGTTGCCCAGTCTGGAGTGCAGTGGCATGGTCACAGCTCACTGTATAGCCTGGAACTCCTGGGCCCTCAAGCAATCCTGCCTCAGCCTCTTGAGTAGCTGCGACTACCAGTGCAGCCTCCAACTCCTGGGCTCAAGCGATCCTCCTGCCTCAGCCTCCTGAATAGCTGGGACTGCAGGCATGTGCCACCACCATGCCCGGCTAATTAAAAATTTTTTTTTAAATTTTGAGTAGCTTGAGTAGCTGGGACTTGAGTAGCTGTGACTACAAGTGCACACCACCATGCCCAGCTACTTTTTCTCCTCTTTGTAGAGATGGGGTCTTACTATGTTGCCCAGGCTGGTCTCGAACTCCTGGCCTCAAGCAATTTTCCTAACTCAGCCTCAGAAAGTACTGGGATTACAGGTGTGAGCTGTGCCCTTTTTTTTTTTTTTTTTTTTTTTTTTTTTGCCAGCATAAATAGGTAGCATGTTGTTTTCCTTGGAAACAGATCTTTGACACACACTGACTTTGCCCCTGAACCACTGCACCCAGGTGAATGCTCCGTTCCTATATCTCCTTCTTGGCTAGGACAACAGCCATGAAGCTGGCATTTAGCAGCGGATTATACTGGGGGAGACAGATCAAAGTAAGTAAAGACCGGTGGTCCCAGAAAAAGGCAGATAATTCGGGGAAACTAAGAGAAAATTAAAACCAAAAGGGAAACAGAAGAGAAAAAAAAATTTTTTTTTTTTTAAAAAGTCTCACTTCAAGTAGTGTCTTCAGAGGAGTTTCAGGAGACGTTGTCTTTGTCCACAAAAATAGGATGTTATTAAATACAGTGGAAGCTTCCAATAGCATTGCCGAAGATTAAAATAGGGAAAGAGAGAAAGAAAAAAAACCCCAAAGGGTGATCTTATCCGTGCTTGTGACTTCAGTTTTCAACCTGGGGCTTTGGGCTCTCAAAGGGAGACAGGTGGAGTTTACACCTTTCTCTGGAGCGCTGAATGGTTCATCACTAACTCCTGCCTTGGGCGGGTCCCTCTGCCTGCAGACATTAGCAGGTCCCTTAGGTTGGTTTTCTGTGGCTACCATAAACAGTACTCCAAACTGGGGGCTTAAACAACAGGACCCGTGTCCCCTCCCAGTCCCGTGGGGTCTCGGGGCCGCGCTCCCTCCACGGGCTCCAGGGGAGGCTCCTTCCCGCCTCTCCCGGCTCCTGGTGGCTCCGGGCGTCCCCGGGCTTGTGGCCGCAGCCTCACTCCCGCCTCTGCCTCCTCTGTCTGCCTCCACGTGGCTTCTCCTCTGTGTCTGTGTCTCTCCTCTGCCGTCTCTCAGGAGGACACCTGCCATTGGGTTTAGGCTCCTCCCTAATGCAAGATAATCTCATGTCGAAATCATTAGCTGCAACTGCAAAGAGCTTATTTCCAAATAAGGCCCCGTTCACAGGTACCAGGGCTTAGTTCGCATTGAATACGTCTTTTCTCGGGGACGCCCTTCAGCCTACTGTCCCCGTCTCAACCTGAATGTGTCCAGGGTCCCCCACGGAATGTGTCCTCTTCATCCCCCAAACAGAACAACCCCAAGAGACCCTTCCTCGCCTGCCCATCTTGTCTTGTCAACGCTGGCTGCTTGCATGCCCAAACCCTAAGCTGCGGTCACCTCGGCATTCCCCGCCCCAGCCCGACGTAGTCCGTTCTCTGCCCATGCACCCTAAAAGCAAGCCTCCATCCCTCAGTCTATAACGCCTTCCCCATTTTCTTGGAAATTTTCCTTCCTCAGAAGAGATCTTCCGTGAAGCGAGGTTGGGCTCACGTTGGTAGTCTTCTACTCTCCTGTTGCCCCAAGTCCTTGAGCTTGAACAAACTCCTTAAACCTCTGCACGCTCGCCCAGGCTGTTACAGTTATTATAGTGCTTGCAGCCTGCTTGTCCCCAAACCTAACCAGAGCCGGGGACCAGTCTTTGGTTCCTTCTTGGGGTTCCTCAGACGCAGTAAAATATCAGGAGTGGTGGAAACGGCGCCACACTTCATTTTATCAGCTTCGGAGTTTTTCTTTAGAACGTCATATCTTGCACTCAGAACTGCTGCAAAAACATCTTCACTAGCAAAGGTGGTGCACCCTAAACGCTTTAGAATTTCCAACTGCATGCTCGAAAGATGGTGAGCCTGGGACTGTACGGCCAGCCAGCCAGCCGCAGGAAACTCCGCAAAAAATCCGTTTGCTTGGTTGTAATACCGTGTTTCCCCGAAAATAAGACAGGGCCTTATGTTTGTTTTTCCTCAAGAAGACACCCTGGTAGGGCTTATTTTCAGGGCAGGTGTTATTATTATTTTTTTAAAGTACGGTACAACCGTCTACATTCATTCAAACAGAGTGAAGTCGTCTTCTTCTGGAACATCATCCTCACTCTCCAAACCCCGAATCCCATCCTGAATGTCTTGCGACTCTGTTTCCTTTAGAGCCACCGGCCCCGATCTCTCCTGTGGAGCACTAGAGCTTTCACAGGGCGGATGAGAAGGGCTGCTCCTGTTCTTTCCCGCTCCGAGAGGACACCCATGGGTTGTGCAGATGCGCTGCGCAGCCACGCCCATCACTAGGGCTGACTTTCATAGCCACGCCCATCACCAGGACTGATTTTCATAGCCACGCCCATCACTAAGGCTGATTTTCATAGCCACGCCCATCACTAGGGCTGATTTTCAGGGTGGGGCTTCTATTGCGCACATGCTCAGACATCCTGCTAGGGCTTATTTTATGGGGAGGTCTTATTTTCGGGGAAACACGGTAGCTGCATGTTGAATCCTCCATTAGGCGCCTGTGAGTTTGTGGCCGGTGGGTCGAAAAGCACATTTGCAGAACCTTTCTACGAATGCAGGAAATCTTGCCTGGCGGTGCAGGCTCTGAAAGAGAGGGTCTCAGCTGTGAGCCATTCTGTCCCTGCAGGGGACGCTTGTCAACTGGTCTGGGGTCAGTTTTGAGTTGCCACATTGGAAGGGAGGGTGGTTACTATTGGCGTCTGGTGGGGGTGCAGCCAGGCATGCTGCTAAACACCCCACAATGCCCAGGATGCCCCACCACCCCACCACCGGGAACGTTCAGCCCCACATGTCCACAGTGCTCGTAGGATGTAGTCCCTGATATCAAGGGAAACCCTTCTGTGTCATTTGGAGGAGTGCAAAAGGCTCAGCGAAATGTCCAAGTTGCAGATGCTGTGCTTGTGTTAAGTGCTGAAACAAGGAGTCAGAAATCACGAGCAAACGTTTCTCTGGCTTAATGTTTTAGTATGGTAGAAGGATATGAGAATTTTTTCATTTCCCTTTTTTGCTTTGTGATTATAGACATTATAATGTGTTTTTGGTGAGAGAGAGTCCAATTTCATACGTGTAAACAGGGGATGTGGGGTTCTAAAATATCTTCTCTGTT